TCAGGAAATTCCTCCTCAGTTCTTAGTTGCTTCTCTCCTTGATTAGTTTCGACCCATTGCTTCTTGTTCTGCCCTCAGGTGCTTTGGAGAATAGCTTGACTCCCTCTTCTTTGTGGCATCCCCTGAGAGATTGGAAGGCTCCCATCATGTCTCCCCTGGTCCTTCTTTTCATTAAACTAGACATGCCCAGTTCCTGCAAGCGAGTGATGGAGATACCCAAAAGATCGCGTGTCCATAAGATGAGATGTTTTGGGGTGGGGAGAAATGCCTCCCAGGGCTTTGGTACTGATCATTACAGCAATCGTGGCTTGTTGCCCACTTAACGTAACCATGGTTCTCTTCGTCCCCTCTCTAGGGTGTCCATAGCACGCTCCGGAACCTGACTTTTCTGGAGACTGATGGGGGATATGAAGAGGAGCCCTCCCAAGATTTCAACACCACTAAGCACCCCCAGATCTGGCAGGTGACCAGCAGGACCCCCTGACAGATTTCTCCAGTTGTGAATTTAGACTTGTTTTTGGGGGGTTCCTCGGCCAGCTTTCTTTGCCCCCCTTTAAGGCCTCCCTCCAGCTCAGTACCCCCTCCCTTTTCCGTACCCCCCCCAAAACATGACATCGCAATAAAACCATTTGTTTTCAAGTGCATCCTTTTATTTTCGTTTGGGAAGCGTCCATGGGGGGGTGTCACGCTTTCAAAAACTGGTTTTCATGCACGTAAGATAGGGGTTTGCAAGTGTGCAGGTTTCTAGTCCACCGTAGCGCGGGGGGCCTCCAAACTTGGTGGCGTTAAGACCTCTGGACTTCAGCTCCCAGAATTCCCCAGCCAGCATAGCAGCAGTTCAGTCATAAATCATAGAAGTCATGAATCTCTCCTTTTTTTTTTTAGTGTAACAGTCACGAAAGAAATGGTTGTAAATCAAGGATTCTCTGTAATTTTACTGGGAATGTGCTGAGCCTAAAAAACGGAGGACACGGCCATCCAAATTTTCAAGCATTAGTTCTTGGCAGCCCCCTGGAAAAATACTGCCCCCCACCCCATCCTCCCCCTTTCACATGCTTAGAGTGAGAATCCTGGAAATAAGAACCATTCAGACATTTTCTTTCCTGGGATTCCGGCTAGCAGGATCTCCTCTTCCCACTCTTAGATCAGGAACTGTTTATCCACCAAGGTCTTCTCCGCTAGATTTCGCCTCCCGAGTGTGTCACGCACCGTTTGCACCAGCTGAAACACAGACGGACCTCCTTTTGTCCTCTGCACAGCTGACCCTTCATCTTCTCCTTCTCCGAAACGGCCAGGAAAAAGCAAATTAACACAACAAGAGTCGCCTCGCTAGACCGCTGGCTTTGTTTAACTGAGTTGCCACCATCAAGCTGGTGTTGGTTAGCTCTGGGTCAAGTGTGCGCGGCTGGCGGAGACGCATGCCGATTGGACGCAAAGTCATCTCACAGCTTCCTCAAATTCACACATGACCTTTCGAGCCAGGTTGCCAGGTTCAATCTCACATCTTACTCATGCCTTTCACACTCCCAGGAGTTGCGTTATCACTCCCACATGGCATGGCAGCCGATCTTCCGATGAATCAAAAGCAAACTTGGGGGGGGGGGGGGAACTTTATCTTC